TGCACGCACTTGCATACACACACACATACATGCACGCACTTGCATACACACACACATACATGCACGCACTTGCATACACACACACACATACATGCACGCACTTGCATACACACACACACATACATGCACGCACTTGCACACACACACACATACATGCACGCACTTGCATACACACACACATACATGCACGCACTTGCATACACACACACATACATGCACGCACTTGCATACACACACACATACATGCACGCACTTGCATACACACACACATACATGCACGCACTTGCATACACACACAGTCAGGGACTTATAACATTACCTCTCCAATTTTTCCTCACAGATAGACAAATAAAGAGCCAGGGACTTAAACATTACCTCTCCTATTTCCCGTACAAACATACAAGACTGATAACATTAATTCTCATATTTTCCTCACAGACACACACATAAAGAGCCAGGGACTGACAACATTAACTCTCCTATTTCCCTCACAGATACACACACAAGGAGCCGGGGAGTGATAACATTAACTCTCCTTTTCCCTAACAGATAGAACTACATCGAGCGTAAAAGCCATTGGCCAAACAGCCAAACGCTAGGCGTACAGTCTCTCTGTCTCTCTCTCTCTCTCTCTCTCTCTCTCTCTCTCTCTCTCTCTCTCTCTCTCTCTTTCTCTCTCTCTTTCTCTCTCTCTCCCCTTCTCTCTCTTTCTCCCCTTCTCTCTCTCTCTCCCCTTCTCTCTCTCTCCCCTTCTCTCTCTCTCCCCTTCTCTCTCTCTCTCTCTCTCTCTCTCTCTCTCTAACTCTACAGACACCAGGTACCTGCAGCAGCCATCCGGCAAACCCCACAAGACTTGACCTGACACCGGTGATTAGCTCACGACTATGGCAATCGCTCAGGAAACCTCACAAGACTTGACCTGACACCGGTGATTAGCTCACGACTATGGCAATCGCTCAGGAAACCCCACAAGACTTGACCTGACACCGGTGATTAGCTCACGACTATGGCAATCGCTCAGGAAACCCCACAAGACTTGACCTGACACCGGTGATTAGCTCACGACTATGGCAATCGCCCAGGAAACCCCACAAGACTTGACCTGACACCGGTGATTAGCTCACGACTATGGCAATCGCCCAGGAAACCCCACAAGACTTGACCTGACACCGGTGATTAGCTCACGACTATGGCAATCGCCCAGGAAACCCCACAAGACTTGACCTGACACCGGTGATTAGCTCACGACTATGGCAATCGCTCAGGAAACCCCACAAGACTTGACCTGACACCGGTGATTAGCTCACGACTATGGCAATCGCTCAGGAAACCCCACACCAAGCAGGTGAACCATAAAACCCAATTCCACATCAGTCAGCTGAATGTCGTAAGTAAAACCCAGTCGGCAGCAGGATGAATAGCAATCATCAAAGAGCGAAGATACTATGAGACAGCATTATAGACTGGGTTAGTTACCTGCTTCAGACTGTCGGCCTGGCAAGGCTTAGCAAGTGGCCAGCGGATCACTGCCAGTTGTATTGTTTTAATGACCTTTCGGTGCTCGGGCTCAGGCCTCAATTTCCACAATCGTAGGGCTCGCGTGAAGTCCATTGAATATCCTTATCATACGGGCTGATGGTGGGACCACAACGGTGGGGATATGATGGGGGACCAGAGTGGTGGGACATGGGGTGGGACAAGGTGGGGGGGGGGGGGGGGGGCGGTTGCGAGTGGGATACCAAGGTTATAACATGACTCTTTTAGAGTGCCTCCCCCTTAGAATATTCTGTCATGATCATGAAGTAGTGAGACAAACAGACACACCTGATACAGCCTGTAGACAACACAACTGGGTAGATTTTACACTGGTCTCCACATTTGCACCCCACTACACACTAGCTCGCTTCTGATTGGACGACCTACTGACCGCCTCACTTCTGATAAGTCGGCTTCAAGCGATCCAACTTTTACACAAGGTCACGGGGATATTCCGCACTCGCGCTCACCATGCCAGAGCTGTTACCACTTCTAAAACATTTAGATACTGGCTCAAACACACAACCCCCATAGAGAGCGACAAAACTTATGTCACAGGCCGTCTCTTTCTCGGAAATAAAAACGTAAAAATACCAGACAACAACAGGCTGCGGCCCTTATAACCGCGACCACGGTAGACTAGTCCAACCAACTTATCAATGGAGTTGACCTACAACCGGTGATGTGTAAATGTGGAGACTATCGTAAACATAACCAACCACTGTGTATATGTGTAAAAAAAAAGGGAGGGGGGAGGAGGGGTGTTTGCTCACTCCAGTGGAAGTCTTCAGATGTGCAATTCACTTTGCAAAAACTGATGAATCTGAACCTGAACAACCTTGGATCCATGCAGATCCACACAGATGTGGATATCCTACCCATCATAAACCAGCCAATAAAGGAAGATTTCCAGACAAAGAAAGCGGCCCAGCCTAGCGTGCGAGAGAAGTTCCACAGACAACAGACATATGCTTGTCAGAGTCAATTTATCTTTATCAATGATATTAGGAAACTGTATATGTTTGTTAGGCTGTCTATACGCAACATTCTGAAAAGAGATTACAGAACATAATATGTAACGTAAAAACTATCTTTCCCAAGATGAACAGTGTCTGATATAAAACGTCAACAGTAACTGAATCCGAGCTCTGAAATGTTTTTCTGTGCAACGCTCAGGTCAACCAAGCTTGAAATGGGTCAAGTTATGGGAAGTAAAGGCGGCTGGTGTGATGTTATCCACATCACCCACCGAATGTCGATGGGTCTATAAAACAGAGGTCTAACCCAATATGCCACATACGCCTAAAGGCAAGAAAGAAAGGTCTCCTTTAGTGTCGAAAGGCAGTCTATCTTGGATTATGAAAGAATGAATAAGAAAGAAATTACTGGTATCATGGGGACGAACAGACTGCAATAGTTGAGGATATACATATAATGGCAAATTACAAGACAGACAACTACTGCGTACACAGAACGAGTTTAAAGGGAGTTGATCACAAGACAGACCAAGAAGGCGAGGGGAAGATACCATACAGGCAGATTTACAAACACTTGGAGACACCTGCTGGACAGGGAAGGACAATGACAAAGGTCAATGCAGGTGGCAGATATCCGTAGCAATGAATTTCAACAGCTCCGAGCGTTGGAGGAGAAAAAGAATGAGAAAGCGCGTGGAAGTAACGGAGACGTTCGTCTTCTGTGACCATCAAATGAGGCAGCGAACAAGCAACAATAGTCTGGACTGGAAAAGTCTCAGAGACGCAGTCTAGCCTCGATACCACGGCGGCTCTGTCTAGCCGCGACACCACGGCGGCTCCGTCTAGCCGCGACACCACGGCGGCTCCGTCTAGCCGCGACACCACGGCGGCTCCGTCTAGCCGCGACACCACGGCGGCTCCGTCTAGCCGCGACACCACGGCGGCTCCGTCTAGCCGCGACACCACGGCGGCTCCGTCTAGCCGCGACACTACGGCGGCTCCGTCTAGCCGCGACACTAAGGCGGCTCCGTCTAGCCGGGACACCACGGCGGCTCCGTCTAACCGCGACACCACGGCGGCTGCATCTAACGGCGACACCACGGCGGCTCCGTCTAGCCGCGACACCACGGCGGCTCCGTCTAACCGCGACACCACGGCGGCTCCGTCTAGCCGCGACACCACGGCGGCTCCCCTTATAGATGTAGAACATTAAATACACCTATCAGAAGCACAGAGTGCTTTCTGGTAACATGATGAGAAGACAGACATGATGAGAAGACAGACATTGGTAACAAGTGGACAGGCCCGGCTCTCTAGCGAAGTTGGTTAAACCTGACTTTCGCGGCAGCCGGGTGACGAACTCCTTGTGGTCCGGGTTCACTCCCGGGGGTAGGCAGAAAAGCCAAATTTCTCCCAGATTAACGGTACCTATAATGGAATCAATACCGAAGGGTTGCGATATCCATAGTACCGAGCCGAAGGGTTTACAACTCATGGTTTCTGGACACGTAAAAAAAAAAAAAAAAGTGGACAGACCTGCGGCGGAAGTGGCATACAGACAGACATGATATCAGCTGGTCTAATTTACCTGCTATCTGAAGGTCTCAGCATCTCCGATGCTTCAATGATCTCATCACTGATGGCCAGTCACTGGGCAAATCTCAACCTCCAACAGCTGCGACACCCGTAACGAGTACTACTCTAAGGTTCCCCGCAGTCCTCCGCGGGTCAAGATCATAATATGGGGATAGATATCAGAAGGTCGTGGGTTGGGATCCTGATGGAGCCGGATTTTTTTTCTCTTTAAAAATGAGGTTGTCTTTGATGCTGACCGAGCCCTGAGTGGCTACCAAGGACAGTCCTGGGAAGAGAGGTCGGTGTGACGCTGACCACATCCCCCACCCAGCACAGAGCGCTGACCGAGCCCTGAGTGGCTAGCAAGGACAGTCCTGGGAAGAGAGGTCGGTGTGACGCTGACCACATCCCCCACCCAGCACAGAGCGATAATGATTACAACAGTAAGAGCAATAATCGGCAGACCACTCGCTAGGCCTCTGGGATTCAATCATCATCACCCTCACACCTATCATCACCCTCACACCTATCATCATCACCCTCACACCTATCATCATCACCCTCACACCTATCATCATCCCCCTCGAACCTATCATCATCACCCTCGAAACTATCATCATCACCCTCACACCTATCATCATCACCCTCACAACTATCATCATCACCCTCACACCTATCATCATCACCCTCACAACTATCATCATCACCCTCACACCTATCATCATCACCGTCATCATCTGTTGCCAGATCAGCACCACCCGTCACGGTTGGTCGCCTCGCACAAACAACAGACTCGTATCTGCGACAGACTAACTCTCCCAGCTAAGCGAGCGCTGTCAGCCTAAGAGGAACACAATTATTCTAGCTATTCAAACAAAGACAAGTAAGAGACGGAGCAGTAGCAACACATACCGGTGTGTTGAGTGGTGTTTGTGTGCCAATCTCCCGCTTCTTGCTGTTTTCCTTGTCTGCACTTGCGTCTCTGACTTCTGTGTTTTGTTTGAGGGTCTGTGGATGTACAAGAATGGAATCTGTACATACACACAAACTGGAAGGGGGAGGCGCCGCTGTCATGGATGGAGAGAAAGAGGGACACAGACAGAGAGAGAGAGAGAGGGCACAGAGGGACGCATGGAAAGAAAAAGAAAGACAGATGGACAGGCAGTAAAAAAAAAAGACAAGACTGAGAGGTAGGGAAAAAAAGACACAAGACACCGACAAAGAGAAAAAGAGAGAGAGAGAGAGAGAGAGAGAGAGAGAGAGAGAGAGAGAGAGAGAGAGAGAGAGAGAGAGAGATACACAGACAGACAGAGAGAGAGACAGAGAGAGAGAGAGAGACAGAGAGACAGAGAGGCAAAGAGTCACGTCTAGCTGTAAAGGATCTTGTCCATTTTTCCTCTATCTTTCCACAAATCCTTCTAGTGACCACATGTTCCAGTTTAAGAGTTTAAGCATCACTTTCCGATTTTTGTGATAGGCTGTCTTTGAACCCCCGCCTCTCTCAAAACATCTGGGAGACTCCTTTTGGTAGAGTTAACAATTCCACGATATCTGTAACAACCGAATACTCAAATATTGTGACTAGAAAATACCGACTGGTGGGCCGGGTGAGTCCGTCTGTGAAATAATCCAAAGAAGGCTTCACAACAGATTTGGTAGGAAGGTTTGATAAAGCGACTGAGATTCCCAAGCTCGTCGATCAACTCTCGAGTTTCCAGGTAATCCAGACGTAGGTGTTATCTTCCTACTTGTTTCCTACTAGAGCGAAAATCTTCACACAGCAAATTTCCAAAGATTGTTTTAACAAACGTGTGAACATGACTTCTGAACGTTGCTGTACGTTCAAAGGGACAGAACCAAAATAATGTTCACATTTATAACACAATCAGGGTAACGTGTGGGGAAGAAACTACAAATTACTCGGCAACGTAAATTCTCCGGGCATCTTGGGGACAAGAACTGCGATGTCAATAACTAGGACGTTTACCTATCGGTGCCACAGTAATGTGTTCGAATACACATCTAAGGATTTTTGTTTTTGTTAACTCGTTTGGTGCTAAACAACAAACAACTTACCATAATCAACTAAAGAGTCAAAAAAAAAGACACTCATATAACTTCACTGTGTGAAATCAAAAGGCCGACCAAGAAAGAGATGAATGAATGGAGTATAAGAGACACTACAGAAACACAATATAACATTTTACAATCTCATCAACTAGCAACAGACAGGAAAGTACATCTAGCACCTCTGTACGATTCTTTACGTCGTCAGCTGCAGGATACAAGAAGACAGACGGAAGAACTTAACATGTCTCAACAGAAAACAAGGATTCTGTGCTTGCTTCCTACTCTTGGCGGGAAAGTGCGTGCAGTGTGTGGCCTCGGGGACTGCAGTCCGCAGGATTTACACTTCGAAGGATGAGAATTCTACCTGTACAAATCCTGGTAAGCCCCGTTCAGCCGTAATGTTTTACTGGGATCCCCCATGGTGACGAGGTAACCCGAAGGCCGGACAGGGCACGGCAGTGACAAAGTGTGAGGTTTTTCTTAGCAGTTTGTTTCTGTATGCAGACGTCACATCCCCCGATTCCTATGACCCTTCCTCTGTCCGTCTTTCTACCTATCAATCTATCTATCAATAATATATTTATTTGTCTGTCTGTTAGATAATCGGGCTAGCAATATAAGATACAATTCGTATGAATCTGCACAAGTATTCTGCCAGGAGAGATACACCTGTAAGACAGTAACGTGATCGGGTTTTCCCGCACACCAGGTCCTAACGTCCCCGACAGAGACAACACATGATACATTATATAAAGACTGGCGAATCCACAATCTCAAGTGTTTAATCCTGAAGCCCTCCCTTAAACACGGACTGAGCCGCGAATACTGTGATGGGTCAGTCAAACTGAACTCCATATTACTGAACTACTCATTAACAATCGACCCCATAGAGCACCGAGCATCCCCACAGATGCTTCGTCTCTCGCAGCAAATATATTAAACAAGCCACACGTGACACCAGCTGACAACAAGAACACTCACAAACAAGTGGACGCGTCCAGTGACGGACATGAAGTTCCACAGAGACCAGCGGTGACTGGGCAGCAGCAGCAAGAGCCGTGACATAGTCTCCGCGAATGAGGCGATCATGGATGCCAGCTCCAAGGGTTGCGTTACTAATGTGTGTTACAGTGGAGAGGTTGTCACGGGCGTGATTTCGAGTTCACTTTTATTATCTAGAATTCCCTGGGAGCGTCTAGAATTAACTTGGACTATTCCTAATTCCCCAGGACTGTCTAGAATTCACTTGGACTATTTATAATTCACGAGGACTGTCTAGAATTCACTTGGACTATTGATAATTCAGGACTGTTTAGAAGTCACTGGGAACTATCCACAGTTCCCTGGGACTATCAGGATTCTGTGGAACCATCAAGGATTGGCTGGAACTATCCTCGCTTCAAACTGAACCATATATGACTGATTATTCATAACTCAACTGGACAATCTAGAATTCACTGGGAACATTTACAGCTCACCGGTGCTATTTTGTATTCACTGGAGCTATTTATTTAGTACACTCGTCGTAACTAGTTGGTCTTCAGTAGTACTACCTCGAGCATTCACTTAGACCACAACTCACTGAAACTACATCTATCTAGGATTCCATGAAACTATCTATAGCTCTCTGAGATTCTCCAGAATTTATTTGGACTATCACAATGGACAAAAGTCTAGAACTGACTAGAAAGATCCAGAATTCAAAGCGTATCCAACATCTAAATGACAATACACTTGACTACAGCTAAATAAGATAATCCTTTCAGTCGCTTGAGCTAGCTCTAAGAACACGCACTGACAAGAGACGAGTTTCTCTGAGAATACGGCCCCGTATTTTTGGCCAGCCAACCAGCCAGTAGGAACATGAAGACTCAGTGCTCATCAACATTCTCTCACCACTAAGGAGAACACGTCAACACACCTACTATAGGATACATTGAATTCATTCATGACCGGGCGTGAGAAAATTAATCCACCAATCAGAGGCTATGTCAACTTACAACAGTCTGTAATATAGGTCGAGCTCTTGAAGCTGTGGTCAAGTGGACAAGGCGACTTCACTCATGTATTATTGCTGCCTGTCTCTTCCGTGCCTGCCCTCAGACGACTAGCTCACGATGCACAAGTGATCAGGCACATGTGGTGGTGCATTGCGACCAGGGATCCTACTGGTTCAGATCTATGTACACCTAGGGGCTGCGTGGTCTCGAGGTATGGCATCCGCCTCGAATGCTGGTGGTTCCGGGTTCAAGCCCCGGTGAAGGCTGGGATAGACCAGTGATAGCTCTCTTGTAGGTTGGAAGCCGGGACTTCAACACAAGATGTGAACTAGTCCAAAAAGAAGACCACACGGCAGGAGAATGTCAAGGACAACACCATGGTTTGTCCAGCCTGCCATGCTTGTCTCATTCAAGACGACTGTTCATCAGTCACAAGTGTTGGCCCTGATGTTTCACAAAAGAATAAGTTCTACTACTGTAGGAAGCAAAACAAAATCGTTTAAACATTACAACTGGCAAATTCTCAGCGACCCTTGATTGTCGGGAAGCAATCCTGCTTTGATGTCTTGGCCTAAAAGGGAGAGGGGGTGGCAGAGGAGGGGGTGGATGAGAGGCAGAACAGAGACGAGGATGAGAGAGAGAGGTGGGACAGGGTGGCAGATGAGGGAGTGGGCGACAGGCAGAACAGAGACGAGGATGAGAGAGAGGTGGGACAGGGAGGCAGATGAGGGAGTGGGCGACAGGCAGAACAGAGACGAGGATGAGAGAGAGGTGGGACAGGGTGGCAGATGAGGGAGTGGGCGACAGGCAGAATAAGGACGAGGATGAGAGAGAGTTCGGACAGGGTGGCAGATGAGGGAGTGGGTGAGAAGCAGAACAGAGAGAGGATGAGAGAGCGTTGGGACAGGGTGGCAGATGAGGGACTGGGTGAGAGGCAGAACAGAGACGAGGATGAGAGAGTGTTGGGTGGGGGGGGGGGCGGTGGAGGGCAGAAGATGTGTGAGAGTTTGAATATCGAAAAGGAAAGAAAACTAGACAGGACGTAGTTCCGGAGATAGTAGTTTAGACACGCGTTTAGTAGGCAAATATCATAAATACAACATACACTCAAAATGATAAATGTGGAGAGAACACCTGCCGCGGACATATAGCAAAGAGCGTCTTCTGCCGAAGATATATAGCAGAGAGCGTCTCCTGCCGCGGACATATAGCAGAGAGCGTCTCCTGTCGCGGACATATAGCAGAGAGCGTCTCCTGCCGCGGACATATAGCAGAGAGCGTCTCCTGTCGCGGACATATAGCAAAGAGCGTCTGTCAAGAACGAACCTTATACATAATATAGACATGCAGTAGGCATTAAGCTCTTAGACATGAAATGTAACGGTATAAAAGGCTTTGTAAACAACACAGTAGTCACAGTGGCGTCCGTGGCTAAGGCGTTGCGAGTCTGACTCGTAATCCAACGTACCGCGATCGAGGGCTGCGTGGATTTTTATCGTGGTATGGGACGTCGCAGGTCGACCCAGCCTCAAATGGGTACCAGGATGGTTTGTCCTGGGAAAGTAAAGACGGCCGGCGTAATGCTGACACATTACCCACCGAGTGCCGATTGGTCTATAAAAATATGGGTGCTATTCCCATATGCCCGATGCGCCTAAAAGCGTGTAAAGGGATTTTTACTTTTACTTTACTTTTACAGTAGTCACAAAACGCCTCATACTTCAGCTGTTGCAACGTCCACCGCGACGGCGCAGTCGCCCCCTATATGTTATGCCAAGTGTTATTCACTCCTACAAGCCGGCAGTAAGTAAAGCCCTACAACATTGGACCACTGGCGGCAGTGGCAGCTGTGAGCCTGGGAATCCACACTTCTCAAGCAGCCATTATAGACAAGGCTATAGCCTTGTTCTGTTCTTGACTTGCCGCTCATATGTACTTGACCACGCCTCAAGAAGGGCATTTCCCTGTAGACGTGCAACGCCAAACGTCACGTCAACTGGGCGCACGTAACGGACAGGAAGCCAGCACTACAGCACGAGTCAGTGGCTGGTCAGCTATGAGCTCACGACAGTTACCACACATCCACTTTCAGAAGCCCATCACAAGAGTGCATAACAATCCACTCCTGGCAGGTGTACTTAGGATACGATTGTTCACATCACAAGAAAGTCTCTGGGGATCGCCATAAACAGGCGAACGGTCAAGCCGAATGACCATAACCAAAACAGATATCGTAGACGTCAAATTCCGTGTCTACCTCAAAGGAAGACGCATATGTGTTCAAATATAATAGCGTTTTCACTCGTACATTGACACGAACAGAAGCACGCAACCAATATTACCGTTCCCTATATTAAGAATTCCCTGAGAAAACAAAGAGTAACCCAGATGATTTGAAAGAGGCGGTGGCTAGAAGACAAACATCAGAAAGAGGTGGTGGCTAGAAGACAAACATTAGAAAGAGGCGGTGGCTAGAAGACAAACATCAGAAAGAGGCGGTGGCTAGAAGACAAACATCAGAATGAGGCGGTGGCTAGAAGACAAACATTAGAATGAGGCGGTGGCTAGAAGACAAACATCAGAAAGAGGCGGTGGCTAGAAGACAAACATCAGAATGAGGCGGTGGCTAGAAGTTAAACATCAGAAAGAGACGGGGGCTAGAAGACAAACATCAGAAAGAGGCGGGAGCTAGAAGACAAACATCAGAAAGAGGCGGTGGCTAGAAGACAAACAGAATGAGGCGGGAGCTAGAAGACAAACATCAGAAAGAGGTGGGGGCTAGAAGATAAACATCAGAAAGAGGCGGGGGCTAGAAGACAAACATCGGAAAGAGGCGGGGGCTAGAAGACAAACATCAGAAAGAGGCGGTGGCTAGAAGACAAACATCAGAAAGAGACGGGGGGCTAGAAGACAAACATCAGAAAGAGGCGGTGGCTAGAAGACAAACATCAGAAAGAGGCGGTGGCTAGAAGTTAAACATCAGAAAGAGACGGGGGCTAGAAGACAAACATCAGAAAGAGGCGGGAGCTAGAAGACAAACATCAGAAAGAGGCGGTGGCTAGAAGACAAACAGAATGAGGCGGGAGCTAGAAGACAAACATCAGAAAGAGGTGGGGGCTAGAAGATAAACATCAGAAAGAGGCGGGGGCTAGAAGACAAACATCGGAAAGAGGCGGGGGCTAGAAGACAAACATCAGAAAGAGGCGGGGGCTAGAAGACAAACATCAGAAAGAGACGGGGGCTAGAAGACAAACATCAGAAAGAGGCGGGGGCTAGAAGACAAACATCAGAAAGAGACGGGGGCTAGAAGACAAACATCAGAAAGAGGCAAGGGCTAGAAGACAAAGATCAGAATGAGGCGGGAGCTAGAAGACAAACATCAGAAAGAGGCGGTGGCTAGAAGACAAACAGAATGAGGCGGGAGCTAGAAGACAAACATCAGAAAGAGGTGGGGGCTAGAAGATAAACATCAGAAAGAGGCGGGGGCTAGAAGACAAACATCGGAAAGAGGCGGGGGCTAGAAGACAAACATCAGAAAGAGGCGGTGGCTAGAAGACAAACATCAGAAAGAGGCGGTGGCTAGAAGTTAAACATCAGAAAGAGACGGGGGCTAGAAGACAAACATCAGAAAGAGGCGGGAGCTAGAAGACAAACATCAGAAAGAGGCGGTGGCTAGAAGACAAACAGAATGAGGCGGGAGCTAGAAGACAAACATCAGAAAGAGGCGGGGGCTAGAAGACAAACATCAGAAAGAGGCGGTGGCTAGAAGACAAACATCAGAAAGAGGCGGTGGCTAGAAGTTAAACATCAGAAAGAGACGGGGGCTAGAAGACAAACATCAGAAAGAGGCGGGAGCTAGAAGACAAACATCAGAAAGAGGCGGTGGCTAGAAGACAAACAGAATGAGGCGGAAGCTAGAAGACAAACATCAGAAAGAGGTGGGGGCTAGAAGATAAACATCAGAAAGAGGCGGGGGCTAGAAGACAAACATCGGAAAGAGGCGGGGGCTAGAAGACAAACATCAGAAAGAGGCGGTGGCTAGAAGACAAACATCAGAAAGAGGCGGGGGCTAGAAGACAAACATCAGAAAAAGGCGGTGGCTAGAAGACAAACATCAGAAAGAGGCGGTGGCTAGAAGTTAAACATCAGAAAGAGACGGGGGCTAGAAGACAAACATCAGAAAGAGGCGGTGGCTAGAAGACAAACATCAGAAAGAGGCGGGGGTTAGAAGACAAAGATCAGAAAGAGGCGGTGGCTAGAAGACAAACCTCAGAAAGAGGCGGTGGCTAGAAGATAAACATCAGAAAGAGGCGGGGCCTAGAAGACAAACATCAGAAAGAGGCGGGGCCTAGAAGACAAACATCAGAAAGAGGCGGGGCCTAGAAGACAAACATCAGAAAGAGGCGGTGGCTAGAAGACAAACAGAATGAGGCGGGAGCTAGAAGACAAACATCAGAAAGAGGTGGGGGCTAGAAGATAAACATCAGAAAGAGGCGGGGGCTAGAAGACAAACATCGGAAAGAGGCGGGGGCTAGAAGACAAACATCAGAAAGAGGCGGTGGCTAGAAGACAAACATCAGAAAGAGGCGGTGGCTAGAAGTTAAACATCAGAAAGAGACGGGGCTAGAAGACAAACATCAGAAAGAGGCGGGAGCTAGAAGACAAACATCAGAAAGAGGCGGTGGCTAGAAGACAAACAGAATGAGGCGGGAGCTAGAAGACAAACATCAGAAAGAGGCGGGGGCTAGAAGACAAACATCAGAAAGAGGCGGTGGCTAGAAGACAAACATCAGAAAGAGGCGGTGGCTAGAAGTTAAACATCAGAAAGAGACGGGGGCTAGAAGACAAACATCAGAAAGAGGCGGGAGCTAGAAGACAAACATCAGAAAGAGGCGGTGGCTAGAAGACAAACAGAATGAGGCGGGAGCTAGAAGACAAACATCAGAAAGAGGTGGGGGCTAGAAGATAGAAGATCAGAAAGAGGCGGGGGCTAGAAGACAAACATCGGAAAGAGGCGGGGGCTAGAAGACAAACATCAGAAAGAGGCGGTGGCTAGAAGACAAACATCAGAAAGAGGCGGGGGCTAGAAGACAAACATCAGAAAGAGGCGGTGGCTAGAAGACAAACATCAGAAAGAGGCGGTGGCTAGAAGTTAAACATCAGAAAGAGACGGGGGCTAGAAGACAAACATCAGAAAGAGGCGGTGGCTAGAAGACAAACATCAGAAAGAGGCGGGGGTTAGAAGACAAAGATCAGAAAGAGGCGGTGGCTAGAAGACAAACCTCAGAAAGAGGCGGTGGCTAGAAGATAAACATCAGAAAGAGGCGGGGCCTAGAAGACAAACATCAGAAAGAGGCGGGGCCTAGAAGACAAACATCAGAAAGAGGCGGGGCCTAGAAGACAAACATCAGAAAGAGGTGGTGGCTAGAAGACAAAGATCAGAAAGAGGCGGGTCCTAGAAGACAAACATCAGAAAGAGGCGGGAGCTAGAAGACAAACATCAGAAAGAGACGGGGGCTAGAAGACAAACATCAGAAAGAGGCGGGGGCTAGAAGACAAACATCAGAAAGAGGCGGGGGCTAGAAGACAAACATCAGAAAGAGACGGGGGCTAGAAGACAAACATCAGAAAGAGGCGGGGGCTAGAAGACAAAGATCAGAAAGAGGCGGGGGCTAGAAGACAAACATCAGAAAGAGACGGGGGCTAGAAGACAAACATCAGAAAGAGACGGGGGCTAGAAGACAAACATCAGAAAGAGGCGGGGGCTAGAAGACAAACATCAGAAAGAGACGGGGGCTAGAAGACAAACATCAGAAAGAGGCGGGGGCTAGAAGACAAAGATCAGAAAGAGGCGGGGGCTAGAAGACAAAGATCAGAAAGAGGCGGGGGCTAGAAGACAAACATCAGAAAGAGACAGTTGTCATTATTTGTTCACATTATAAGACGGAAACAGGGATATATTGTGACCACCGGAAAGATCTGTAGAATACGAAACAGAGGAAGACAACGTCAGAACATTCTGGACAGCCTTTTGTCGTGTCATGGCGGGCTGTCTGCACATGAATTTATACATTGTTGAAAATCGCAGATTGTGGAGAGGCATTATCGCCCTCGCCAGTCGGCAAGGCATTTGATGATGACGACAGAAAGAAAATGTCCGAAGACTCGTTTATTCTGCTGGCTGTAGTGAGGTAATCAGCCTCAATTATTCTTGACTGAAGTCTTGCAGTCCCAGGCAGGTAGAACTCAACATCCTTCCCGACATCACCACCCGCCTACAACAACTCCGTGTCATCAAGATTCTACTCTACCAACAGCCTCAGTGTCAGCAAACTACGCAGAAAAA